AGCAAGAAGTATCAGGCAGTATGTTTGTATAAATATAACATGTTGGGCCTTAGTGAGTCAGAGAGCAGAACAACATCTATGGAACTAACAAAGCAGGACAGAATTCAGAAACACAAAAATAGTGATAGAGAATAAAACAGGAGCTAGTTTGAGATTACATTTCTTTTCATTTGTGTGACACAAATGCAACAAAATTGAAACAGTTGACAAAAATAATTTGATGAAGATATGGCCTCCTTGTTGGAGGTATTTATAAGATTTATTGCAGGTGACCTGAAAAGTCAGTGTCTGAAAATGAAACACGAGTCACCACTTAACAAAAAAGACTAATTTGATACAGTTTAGCAATTACGCTTTTTACAGTACCTTTGGGGCTGAGACTTTATCAGCAGACCAGCGTGAGCTGACATCTAATTCCTTAAAATAAAAAACACGTTGCGCTTTTCCAGCACATGCGTTTTTTACTCACCAGACGGTTTGTGCTATCTTGGCTTCACTCGGGTGGATTGACCTTGATATTTGTTTTCCATAATATAAATAATAATAACAATAAACTTTCCTACAGCACCTTTCAAAACCAGAGTGCTAAAATATAAGTGCTAAGTTAGCAAATCGTAGAAAAGCCACAACATACTCAGCAATGCAGTAAAATAAAGGACAACAAACAACAATAAAACAATAGAATAACAATATATACATTGATACATACATCAATATTAAATTGATATAAAGAGAGGGAAGAGTGCACAGTTTGAAAAAAAGGAGTTGAGAAAATAGGACTAAAATGGAAGTAGTTGTTGCAGTATTGTATGTTTTGTTTGTATGATCACTTCAGTTTCTGTCTCCACATGGTGCAAAGATTTGGTTTTGTAAAACCCTTTTTCGTTTTGTTTTGTATATTTAGTGTCTAGAATAAGCTAAGACACATGACTGCTGTTTACAGTATAAGGCAAACCAATATCATGGAGAAAAGATAGTGGGAATAACGGTAATATAAAGTATGACGTACTTAGTTGTATGAAGTATTCTTCATTTAAAATGTGAAACATTTTTAAAAACACAACTGCAAAATACACAGCTTACCATCTATGCTCAGTACCTCAGCTGCTGCCGGTGCTCTATGATCTGAATTAACTGCTGCTTTGTTACCCAGTAAAAGGTCTATGTCTACATCTGCCCAGAGGAACAGACCACTGAGATAATATTTACAGAGCTGACGGATACAGCTTCATGTGAACCTCAGTCTGTTTTCTTGCCCATGATGTACAGTAGCTAGATACAGTTGTGTGATATAACAGCCACTGAAGCGAGAAACCTTTGTGAAAATTGTTTTTTACACAAGTACCAAGTACACACTGGCCTCTGAGACACAGGGGTTATTGTTACACAGTCATATGTTGGTGAATAGGGGCTATCTTAGAGTACAGACCGGTGTTTCACACTGTGAACACTGCCTGCACCAACACTGTCTCTTTCTCTGTCTATTTCTAAGACACGCACCCTGTGGTGCCATGTGAGTGCTTTATACCCTTGGCCTTGGACATTGTTGTGTAACCTGTCTTTGCGCTGCGGCTTCTTGGCCCAGTTGAGCATTGAAAGTGGACTTTGGTGGTGTTGTGTAATATCTCCTCGTATTTCCAACTCTCTTCTGCACCACTGGACCAGTTGTATGCAGCAGCCATATCACTGTCACCAGGCTTTCTATTAAAAAGAGTTTGTAAAACAACGTTTAATGCTTCAGTCTTAGAAACAGAAAAGACTGCAGTGTTCCACTGGTTAGAACTGTCGCCTCACAGCAAGAAGGCTCTGAGTTTTAACCATAAACTGCAGATAAAAATGAACAACGCACCTCCTCTTCCGTATATTGTACAAAAGTTATACAGGTTCTGCCATCTTGTTATTTTGATGTATAATGGGGTCAGAGTCAGATCCCAACAATACCCACACTGGACCAATCGTGAGTCAGTCTCAGCTCACCCTGTTTGTATAGCATCAAATATCTACTTACAACCAAACTTGTCAGAAATATGAATACTTGAACAACCTAAAATGATGGACACAATCTTTGAGAAAACATTTTTTATTTAATTTATTTTTGTTTGTTCAATGTCACATCCACTAACATGGAGGAGGCAAGGTTTATGGCCTACATTGCAGGCAGCCGCCAGGTGGTGATCAAGATGATTTGGCTTCATGGGGGCTGTCATGTTGTCCATATTTATCCACAGTCTATGGTTTGAACGTGAAGACTGACCAGGTCATATCAATGTGGAGTCCTCAGGTGACCTGTCCTGGGTGTAAGCCAACTCGCCCAAAGGCAGCAGGGATTGACTCCAGCTAGCCCACACCCATTCAAAGGATAACTGGTTTAGATAATGGATGGATGAATGGCTGGCAAGATATAATGTAATTTGAGGGCCTGCTAGCTAAGTTAAGTTTGAATTAATGAACTAATTCTATCCATGGGGAGATGGAGTGCTGAAAGTTAAAGCTTGACCACTTTTAACTGAAAATCTGTTGAATAATTTGTAACACGTCACTTGTCTGTATTTATATTCTGCTGCCACACTTTTACAAAGGTTGGAGGAAAAACATGTGCAGCTTTAAAATAACAGTCATCAATTCAGCCCTGTCAGTTCCAGCCTTCTGTAGGGACAGAAATATTGGCAATACCAACACAGATTTAACAACAGCCGATGAAAACACACTCACTTCTCAGGGCTTATCCTGTAAATCCAGGACTGTGCCGTTCTCATCGCACAATCTGTTGTTGTTTGTCATTTCCCTCCCACATGCTAACTCATGACAACTCACCACAAGAACCGGTGGGGTCAGAACGCAGCTTTTACGTAGTGATGGAAACTCAGGCGACTCAGCTACAGTCTTACAGCCTCCTCCTCCGTGTAGTACATCAGAAGATGTAAAATCAATGCCCCTGTCCCTGCCACATACATTACACTAAACAGAATCACATGCTCTCTGAGGCTGTTTTCCATAGCTGCAGTTATTGATTTGATGTCTTTCCATTAGACTTGGCCTTATAAACTCTAATGAGTCTCTTGTACAGCAGCCGGCCCTCGTCTCCGCCTGTTTCCACACGTAGTTGTGTTGCCTGATGTAGTGCTTTTCTTTACTTACATAGGGAACAGGGGCTTTTCAGTGAGTCTTGGATACTTGGATACTGCACTGAACTGTGCTGTGTCATCATGTGAGACACCATAAAAATGAGTTCAATGTTTTGGATGAGGACACAGGGGTCAAATTCTGGAATGTATATGTCTCTTATCTTGATGATGATAATGACAGTTTTAACTATTTTATACTGTATTTTTGCAGCTCAACCATAAGCTCACTAGTTATTATGTGCTATTACATTATTTTTTCCATCTTTTCATTTTCTGGTGTGCAACCCAGCTCACTCACAACAGTAAATGCATCTCCTATGTTACTCGCTGTAAAAACCAAGAATGAACAGAGAGAAATACAATGCGCATAAAGTTTGAAGCTCATTGTCATGACCAGGCAGACAGATATGTTATATCAGCTTCTGTTTCACAAGTTACATATAATATTTTTCACCTAGACCAGATTAAGATTCTTAATGAGATTAAAATCTCTATTTCAGGAGAAACCCGTGTTCCCATTTTATGCTTTATACGATACATTTGCTGTATTAGCACCACTGATCACAATGCACATATTGGTAATTAATGTACTGTTTCTGTAAATGTGACATATGGTGGTTTGGTGCAAATGACTGGATGAAAAATGCAGAGGGTAAACAGAACTCTGCAGATAAATTAGTGTAAATAGTATAAAGGAGAGAGAGAGAGAGAGATGCGGTGTGATATTAATGTAAAAGACATGAATATGCTCCTGCTCTCAGGCTGCTGGGTCTGTGCTCTTAACCACAGCTCTTGAGATGTGAGGAGGCAGACACAGAACTCATGCTGCAGGTCAGTCTGCTCTGTGTGAAGGCCACACTGCTGACCTTCATCAGAACTGCTGCGTGACAGTCAGATATTATGGTGCACACCCCCTCTCGTTTACAGTACTTGTGACAGACTCTGCACTACAGTACTGATGCACCACTTAACATATTTTCTGAAGTCAGCAACTCAAAACTTGTAAATCTGTTTCAGTAGAGGCTGTGTTCAATAGGTGATCTAACAAAGAAGGTTGTTTTCAGACAGTTAACAAGAAACTGCAGCAATTTACTCACACCACTGACTTACAGTGATCTCTGCTTTCCAGATGGATAATAACACCAGCATATTTATACATGTAATGAGCCAGGGTTAGGTGATTGGGAAATATTGTTGTCAGAAAACGTTTTATGCAGTGAGGAGCTTGACATTTTGGAAAAATAGTGCAGTGGCCATTCAAACTGCTACACTAACATAAGACCTTTAAAGGGATAGTTCCCTGACATTCATATACGACTCTAAACGAAGTCATTTAAACCAGGTTTTTAGCCTATATGTCCTCTCATGTCTTTCTACAAGGTACATTCACGGACCCTCGGACACACCATCGTGTAGCTAAGTCCACTAGCTTAGCCACTTCCAGTAAACATTTAGGCTGAAAACGTGGTGTAAATCACCTTGTTTCGAGTCGACTAAGAACGTCTGGGACTGTGGACACTTGGATGACACCACACGAGCAGTATGGAGGCATGTTATGTTTTTTCTATTGAGTTCAAATTTACCGGATTCGGCTGCTACAAAGTTTACCACTGAGATTCCAGAAGTGTTTGTGGACTCAAACACTTCACTCACCCTTCCATCCTTTTTCAGTGAACTATCCCTTCAAGACTTTAGGTATCCTGGTTAAAGATCATTAACATGTTCTGTTAACAAAAGTATTTAGAGTGTAAGATAATGTGTTACCCTCACCGATGCATTGTAACAGCCCTTCATTAACTTTCACTGTTAATGGCTATTAAAGCACTGGCAGTAGACTAGATTATGTCATGACGACCAACTTTCTTCTTTCCACAGAAATGAATTCAAGGCTTACAGAGATGTGAAGCCCGCCAAGATGATCCGGGCCAAGTCCCAGTACCTGCCACCAGATGAGAAGACCAGCCTGGAGACCAGCTACAGCGCCACCTTCAAGGGGCAAGCCCCACAGCAGCCGGCTGACAACAAGGCCCTGGAGAGGAGGAGGATACGCAGTTTGTACAGCGAGCCTTACATAGACTCCAGCAAACAGGTGAGAATGCACCTTTCTAACCTTGTAGTATGGTTTGAATTAAATTCTGGTGGGGAAAGAAAGGGGTGCTGATAAAATCTTCAAATTACTGTCATGCTATAACATCACACACCACAGTTTAAGAACTTAATAGCCATCCCAGCAATCTGATTTCCGTTATCCGACATCCTTAGGTTGACAGATATAGTGTCCCTCGCTCTAAACCCAAAAAGTCTGGAGCCACAGCGGCTGGCCAGGGCAAGCCAGTGAAGAAAGCCAAAGATAAGCAGAGCGCTGGGCTGAGGGGCTCCAAGAAGACAACCTCGGAGAACCAGTCCGAGAACCGGCCCGCGGTGGGGGACAAGGAGAAAAGTAAAGAGATGAACAACAAACTGGCTGAGGCAAAAGAGTAAAAATCATTAAGCACTACTTCTCTTTTTATTTCTTATATTTTGGGGGAAATCAGACACAGAGGCTGCAAAATGAATTAAGGTTCTTCATCTTTGTTCTCATCTCTGTCTTCTTTCTTCTCTGCTTCCCCCTCCACTCTCTTCTTCGTCTCTTCTTTGTCTCTCATTCAGTCTGTGATTCTTTTATTCTTCTCTGTCCTACCTCTTGACTCTGTACAATGATACTAGAATAAGATGTCCACATGACATGTCATTGCTGCTCATGCCTCATGCTTTAGTAAAGGCTATAGTACGGAGTAGGAGCATCCTCTTCCTCCACCATTTGATGCCACCCACCACCCCCACTCTGCTCGCCTCCATCTCCAGGTTGCCATGGCTACTGGCTGCCTGGCTAGCCATTGGACGGCTTTTATTGTATGGGCCCACCAACAAGCGATTCTGAAAGGTTGGCTTTGATCGGCTGAGCAGATTGCTTTGCTGAGTTTATCAAGGATTTTTTTTCCTTTTGTTTTTTTGGTTTTATGAAATAAAGATATTCAATTTGGCACTTTGGGTATGATCTAATGATTAATTTACTAAATTTCACAGCAGTCTGAAAATCCTTTGATAAATGTGCTGCTTGGTTAGCAATAGTGTCTGATCCACAGCTTGATCTGTACCTGCTCTGTCATCAGCGCTTCTGTTCTCTGTTCATGTCGAGCTCTCAGGGCTTTAAGCATGTGTTGAGCAACACTTTGTTAAATTTGATTTTGTCTCATTATATTTAAACTCTACTGTCAGCTGTAAACTTATATAAGTTCAGAAGAAAAACACCTTGTCTGTCTCCTCCATCCATGTGCAGCTCATTCATACAGTGGTGTTTAACTTGACTCAGGCTATTTTGTAACACCCAATTTGTTGCCAACAAACCGTGTGGGTCACACTAGACTGATTATGCATTAAACACCAGTCATTTGCATAGCAGATGAGTGTTCCCGCTGAATTAGATAACACTGTCATGCACTCGTGGTGATATTTTACATTAGAGTAACAAGGTTTTTCAGATTCAGAGAGGGATGAGCTGCTAAATGTTCTGTTGAGTGGTTTAGTTTGTCCATCAAGCTCAGTGTGCAGAGCTGTCAGTTTCATAGGTCATAATTCTGTAAAATCGCCTCCAACACATTAACTGAGCCGTCTGTGAAGCTTCACAACATGATATGCAGTTGCTGTAGCCTGCACTCAAACACACACACACACACACACACACACACACATACACACACACACACACACACCTTCTGTTTTTAGACGTACGCTGCCGGGGGGTGACCTTAACCAATGTGATTAGCCTGCAGACGGCTCATATTGCTGCTTAATAGCACTTCTCACATCACTGTTATAGAGGGAGCTGAATGGATGAAGCACAGATTCACACTTCAAATTAATATTTTCTTAATAAATAATCATGTACCTGATGTAATATTCACATATGAACCAATAACCGAACCACAGTGATGTGATGCAGGTGTAACTTTGACTCTATTGCTCATCGCTCTCTGTTTCTGAATCCAAGCGGTTCCTCTTGTTTTGCCTAAATTCCAATTTGAAAAACAGTATGTTGGTTTGATGGGGTTGAGTTTGTTTAAAATGATGATTAAAGACTGGATTCACTTTTCTATTGTGCAGCAGGTTCCACATGCTGGTGCCATGTGTGTATGTTTGTAAGAGGCATCTCGCAAAATTTTACAAAACAAGATGTTCGGCCTGTTTTTGTTTTTTTCAATCCAGATTTTCTAAATAAAATGTGTTGAAGAAAAGGGAACAAGAAGTTGGCTGTACTGTAACTGTTAATCTGTTAAAACCAATTATAACCTCCCGTGTATATAAAACATACATTTGTGTATATATTATAGTCAGTCCAAAGCATCCCGCTGCTTTCTCTAAATCTTAGTATAAATACATATAGAAACACCTTTTCTGGGATTAAAAGAGTACTGTCATCAATGTGCTCCACCCCCCACACTCACCTGACTGTTCTCATTAGTTCTGCCACCCAACATCCCGCCCTCCATTCTGACTGGACGAGTGTAACCGCCTCTGTTTTTTGTGGTGTCTGCAGCAACCATCGTCGCCACCACCACCGCCGTGTCTATCCAAGCCGAGCATGCGCCTCATCAGCAGTGAGGGCCCCGACTGATTAGCATTTTGCAGCCTTTGGTTGGGTGACGCTTTGTCACGTGATAACACAAGGGAGGGAAGGAGGGAGGCGGGTGGGGGGCTCTGTCATTGGCAGTAAATGTAAACAGTGCTTAGCACACCACACACCTGGTGCTATCTATGTGACTATTAGGCAAATAAGGATAGAAAGTATGGTAAAGAAAGTTATGTCTTGGGCAAAAAAAGAAAAAAAAAAAGAAAATTGACTGTGACGTGCTTGTGTTTCTACCTGCTTGCTCATATTTAATGAAACATTACAAATAAATGCAAAAAAACGCAGTGTCTTCTCGCTTCCTTTTGTTAATGGTTAAAGAGTAGTGGTTGCAGGTATCTGTCAGCATTCCTCTTGTCCCAGTCTTTGTCCCGAGAGACGACCTTTATTCAATGAATCCACATGGAAGAGAATTTTGCTCTCACCACTTCTTTCTATGCTTATCCAAGACTGCGCCACATTCTGGCATAAGCTCTGGCATCTGCTCCAGGCCATCATGTTGCCCCATGTGAGAACTGAAGAATATATTATTGTTGCACCTTGTCTCAATATATTCCAAGAACTCATCTTACTTACAGAGCAACATGCAAGCCAAAGGATGCCCAGACACTTATTCCAGAATAAGATGTCATGTGCTTCTTAGACCTCTAGTTAATGTATTATTGATGCACTTTATTGTGAAAAAAAAACAACACACCACTAATGTGTGATGTTACATTTGCTGAGATCACATTCTTCTTTCTTAGTCTGGTGTCATGGTTAGAATTTGATTTGAGGACGTCACACTTGGATGATGCTGTGTCCACTTTCTTGTTTTGCTAATGAGTGACATTCTGATTCATTTGAAGGGTTGTGCTAAAACAGTACCACTACATACAACTCTGCCAGCCAATCCGAGATATTGGCTGGGTGCAGACTCTAAAGCAACACCTGTGGGGCTGTGCACTACCCAATCCCAGGTAACCCATCACAAGCGCAGCTAAAAAAAAAAAAAAAAAAAAGGCCCAAGCCAGAAATGCTACTCATACTCTCATATTCATACATGCTCATGGAGTTTATGTTTTAATGTTTTAATACAGTGGCACAATTTTTTTTTTTGGGGTGAACCACCGCATTATTTCTGGCCCACCCCTCAGGTCATGGCCCCTCTGTGTTTCTCTTCCATATGGACACTAGAGTAGGGAGTGAACAGGGCTGTCTGACCACCTGCTCTCACATCCCACATGCAAGGTTCCTTAAGGGGCCTTTTCTTAAGGAGGCCACAGGTTTAAGTCCGATCATCTCCACCATCGTGACCCTTTCCCTCATCACGGCTCAAACAAACTGCACGACTTGTTTTGAATTATGAATCATTACACTAGTGAATTTCCCACCCAGAGAGGAGAGTGGAGGTCACTACCTCACACGTCATGAAATCAATGAAGTGTTGCATTTTGCATCTCAGCTTGTCGTTGATGGTTAAAATGTTCATACTATGTTTAGACTATAAGGATCATTTTCTTTCATTCAAACGCATGCTGCCACTGTTTTTCTGTTGGACCTGCAATCAGATGTTTATGTTTAGATCGAGATATCTGTAGAGTTTTGGCATGGATGTATGATGAGCTCGACTGGGGTGAGTATAAATGGAATGAGGGAAGATGCTCTGCTTTGGAAAAAGACGATTCAAAGGAAATTGTAAGTGCATGTTAATGATCTTCTCTCTAATTTGTACTATCTAGTGTCTTTGTTTCACAGAACACCCCGAGACCCTCATTGAACTATCGACATCCCTATGTCATGTCACAGAGATGAATTGAGTCTGTCAAAGAGGGGATTAAAACCATTGGTCTGTATTGATCTAAATCAGTGGTTCTCAATCTTTTGAACTTCAAGGACCGAAAAATACTGACACAAATTAGATCACGGACCCGTATTTGACAAGATTTGTGATTTTCAATGTTTTATAACAGGACTTGTATGAAATTTGGGACCAAAATAGTCATAGATTCCATAAGCATAATGTTATAACGTTAAATTATAGTTATAATATATTATTCCCTGGTATTATATACCACAGAACCTCTTTAATTTGGAAAATACACAAACGCTTTATTCTATGTTCATATTCTATTAGTGAAGTTTTCAAAGACACACTATGAATTAAATCACAAGACTATCGTGAGGCATTTTTATGTCACATCTCTGGAACACAGAATAAAGGAGCTGTAGTAGTCCCTAAAACAAAGCTCGGAGATATTCTCCTCTGAAATGAGTGGTCACAGGGTGCTCAGCTCAACTTATCCCAATGCTTTGCTGTTGTTCGCCTGAGAAAAATGCCTCATCCTTTGTCTCTCTCTGTCTCCTTCTTCTTCCTCTCTGGTAACATAACCATGTGCTGCCTCCTAGAGGTGCTAAAGACGAGCCTCTCCGACCCAGTCATCATCATTCCCAGGGTGCTATTGGAGGAGAGCCACCACCACCACCACTGGAAAGGCCCGAGCCACGGAGGAGCGGCGGAGTCGTCCGTTTTGCCCTAGACGGGAACCAGACTGAGTAGCTCTGCCTCTGCGATGGAGGAGGCAGCTACACCTGTATACACCGACTGCCGCTCTGTGCTGTATATATCTAGTATTTAAGGTGGATTAGGAAAAGAGATGAATCCTACACATACAATAAAACAGCCTACATATTTGAAACACGCATGTTTTTGGCTCAGAGGTCACAGCTGTTTGACGCAAATGGCATTATCGCAAAGGTGCTACATTATTTTACAGTTTCATGCAATTTATTTCAAAGGATATTGTCAAAACTGTTAGAAAAACGACACCATAAAGTGCTTATACAACAATGACATAACAAACTGTTCTGTACAATGACCGGTTTTAGTGTAAATAAAATGAGCATTACTTGCAGATTGCCATGTTGTATTTGACTTTGTGTCACTTTCAAACAGTGGGTTAGAACAGTGTGAAGTGATGAATGATGATGAGTTCAGTGTGTTGCACAGATATCGGAATCCTGCATTTCATTATAATGTAAAGTTGAAATTCATTAGGGGAAATATCAACTTCCGGATAAAAGTAATTTTGAAACTTCTTCACACCATTAGAACTTTTAACCCCCTAACCCTAACCTGTGTTAAAATGATACCTTCAACTTTAAACGACACAACCCTGACCCTTTTTTTAAGTCAACAAAAAATGGCAAAAATGTCTCAATATTATCCCTTTACTTGGAAAGTTTTTTTTCATTACATTTAACGGACTCGCTCTGCTTTAGGACAAAGCTAATGGGTATACCAACAAATCAAAGTACATGAGTGGGATTTTGCAGCAGTTTAGAAGCCAGTCATAAATTCAGTATGTGACATATACAAGTGTGGACAGTCCAAGTACACTGAGAATGGATTACATCTTGTGTACATCGTGTAAGACCTTTAGTAGTATTACATTTTTAACATCATAAAGAGGAACTCCACTGATTTTACACATCAAAGTCTGTTTATTGGTTTTATTCCATACCACTGAATATAAGACAAAATTGATGAATGCCTGAGAGGAACTAGTGGCTGATGATTTGGCAGTTTTGGGAAGAAGCTAATTTCCTTTAAACCATGAGTCAGTGAAAACTGTGTTAGTGTGTTAGTGTTTATTAATCATTAAAGTCTCAGATTTTGTCCTATTTATTTATGTGAATATTGCTTAGGGTGAATTAGAGTTAAACTTGTTTTTTGTCATATATAGATAAAACACATCCACATATGAATACAGTACTCGTGTCATTTGTTGGTTTTGGATCAGGCTCCCTAAAGATTAGACTGTGAACTTTGGCAGAGACTTTTTATATCAGATAGCAAACTGATATTTCAAAATAAAATGACTGGCAGACTGGACAATGCCCTGAACCTTTCAACACAGTCTGGACAAGAAGTGTGTGTGTGTGTGTGTGTGTGTGTGTGTGTGTGTGTGTGTGTGTGTGTGTGAGTTCAGTCGTCCCAGCTTCCAACAGATGAAGCCCATGAATTGAGACACAGCTGCATAAATAGAGGCAATTATTGGAAATCGTTTTAGATGCTTTGTTAATGCAGGCTCTCATATTTAATTGTTCTATATGCCAGGATGTAAGGGCGAACGAGGGATGAAGAAACCGGACCTCAATAAATCAGCTGGTTTGAGGCTTCAGTGGAAAGAAGCTGTTTCCTTGTCGCTGTTCGTTTTACTCCTCATTAAGCTGCCCTGCTCTCAATGCTGCTGTTTGCTTTGTAGCAAACAGTAAATGACACTATAAATAACTCTGCTCACAATCTCTCTCACACACACACACACACACACACACAGTACACACAACATATAGCTGCACCAGCCCCCTGCATCAGTGACGTCTCAACACAACACGCTCTGGTGCTGAACATTTCTGGGATTCGTGTAATTGTGCGTTTGCAGACGAGGGGGGGGGGCACTCTATCACACTGTCAGTCTACATCAGCGAATCAGCCATCTTCACAAATAATTTAAAACTGTGCTCAGAGAGCTCCCCCCCATTACTACTGTTGGGTTACAGAGTGTGTACTATTCTGTTCCAGAGGGAGCGTCTGTACCACGAGGTCTACTGACACAGTTCTGCTTCATGACATGGACAGTAAGGTGGAAGGAAAGGAGGTGATTGCTTATTTTATTTCATTACCAGTAAACTTCCTTTAGGTTGGTTACATTTTCTCAGGGTTGAAGTTCGGGGAAATAATTAATTTGGTGCCAGTTGAAAGAAAAATAGACACAATGACAAATGGCCTAAATTGTCTCTTTTTGTTTTGTCTTCATCAAAATGTCACTAAAGGTATCATTGAGTCTTTAAAAACCCCACACAACTAACTAAATAACTTTCGGACTCTGCCAGTGATTTGCACAATTGTCCAGGAGGTAGAGAGGCCTGTAAAATATATTTTAGTGTTAGTGAAAACCTTTGGAGATCCCTGCACATCCTGCACACACACATAATACACACACACACACAAAGGGCATAAACTGTGATGAATGACTGTGTCTCAGAGACGCCCTGTGACCTGGATGAACGGAGACGGATGTGAGGAAGAGGGGGAGGTAAGAGGTAACCTGTGGACACATACATCACGTTGCAGCCATTATGAGGGAATGTGGCTCTGCCGCTTTCCAGAATATGGACGTGTCTCAAAGCTCATTTCTCCTCCAGTGCACCCTGCTGATCCCCTGGTCTGATTTATCAATTCTGGAATCGCTCCCCAGACGTCAGATTTCTGTATTTAACAATGGGGGTCGTTGTTCATTGTGACCAATGTGTGCACATGTTTGTGGAGCTATAAATGATCATGCATCTGCACATTACAGCCAAACATGAGTAGGAACACGCAATTTGTTTTGTATTAATAGTAACATCCCATTTCTGCAGATTTCAAGCATTTGAACTGAAATGGTTCCCCGCTCTTTCCCTCCACTTTGATCGCTGATGCCCTCCCTCCCTCCTTCCATCCATTATTCCTTCCATCCCTGCACTGGGGCCGTTGCCATAGAGACAGGTTGCCAAGCCTCCGAGAGTGGATCAGAATGGGTTAATTAGGAGGTGGGGCGTGCGCAGCCCTCCAGATGGTTGTAAGCTGTCCTTCGCCACCGGTCTCCAGGGACCCCCCCTCTCAAAAGTGAAAGCCTCTGCTGTTTAGTATTCACCTCCCTCCACATTGAGGAGCTGCATCTATGATCCTGTAGTCAACAACATGGGATTGTGGGAATTGAAGGGGGGGGATCCCTCCATAGCTTTAACTGAGAAAGACATACAGGAGATTTTCTAAACCACTCATCTCTACAAAGACAGAACATAACATCTCTATTCCCTTTCATCTCAACCAAAACATACATGTATGTATGGGAATCAAACCTCTGCTCTAATCTAAACTACGTCCTGAATCAGTACCTTCTCCTGTCTCCTGTAAACACTGTAAACATGTCTCTGTGAATCATGGGAGCCATTTTGCATAGTAGAGCTGAAGAAGTGAACCAGCAGCGACACCAAGTGTCTGCGTTCATACAGAACATGTTTATTATCACAGCACAAATAATGTCTGTTCCAGTAAGAACAGAATAAATATTTCAGACGGATTACAAACAGTTCACTGAACGTGTGATGGTGAAAAGAAAATAGCAGCTAAAATGAAATGTTCATGGTGTAAGGATATTGGACTACATGAAGATGATCATTTATACATACTGTAGATATGTAGCAGTTATATATAGTCACATATATTTATATGGTCATTACATCATATGTCTGTTTTCACTTTTCTGATTGTAACTCCATCAGCATATCTGTTGCTTCTAAAACATTTTTGAAATATGTTACAAATACATTTTAAAATATTCATTTTCTCTATATTTGACATTTCAGTGTAAAACTAACAACAACTTCTATGATTTAATATATTTTAATATATATATTATTATATAAAGTGGGCAGGTAAATATTAACATCATCTGTACTTTTTTATTTATTTTCCCATGTGCAAAGATTTGTCATATTTTAATCAGAACTAATGTGAGAACTGCCAAACAGTGGCATCTAGTGGAGACGATACAGTAAAGTAAGTTATTGAGAGTGGTTTACTTCTGTGATTTAGGTGTTGAAGACAAGGTAAGTGAAGTTCTCCTGCTTGGGTTTGGCACTGAAGTTGTAGTGTCCGATGCGGTTCCTCTGGTAGTAGTAAAGGCAGACGAAGGCGCCAATGAAGAGGAGCGACAGACCGACTCCCAGGCAGGCGAAGCCGATAATATGAACAGTGTCATACTCCTGCTCCAAGTTGTCTGAAACTGCATGAGTCAGATAAAAGTGTTAAAAATCAGTAAATATAGAGTCAAGAGGATAATGTCTTTGAAAGGTCAATACCCTGAATAAGGAAATAGTACATCAATATATACTATATATAAACCAAA